TATGTATAGTAATAACTGAGTGACACACCACCACCAGGTACACGTGTATAGTAATAACTGAGTGACATACCACCACCAGATACATATGTATAGTAATAACTGAGTGACACACCACCACCAGGTACACGTGTATAGTAATAACTGAGTGACATACCACCACCAGATACATATGTATAGTAATAACTGAGTGACACACCACCACCAGGTACACGTGTATAGTAATAACTGAGTGACACACCACCACCAGATACATATGTATAGTAATAACTGAGTGACATACCACCACCAGATACACATGTATAGTAATAACTGAGTGACATACCACCACCAGATACACGTGTATAGTAATAACTGAGTGAGACTACCACCACCAGGTACACGTGTATAGTAATAACTGAGTGACACACCACCACCAGATACACGTGTACAGTTATAACTGAGTGACATACCACCACCAGATACACGTGTATAGTAATAACTGAGCGTCACACCACCACCAGATACACGTGTACAGTAATAACTGAGTGACATACCACCACCAGATACGCGTGTAGAGTAATAATTTGTCTTCAAGGTCTAAAGAAAATAATGTAAAGTTTACGACGTACACAACACATATCTTGTGTACTTCAGGTTGTTCTCTCCAGATTAATACCTTTATCCTATTTGTTCACTAATGCCAAGCCAGACAAGCAACGAAACAAAGTTGTTTTAAGACACTTTACCAAACTCTACACATATGTGTATAAATATTATACAAACTCTATACACATGTGTGTATTGATATATGTGTGTAAATATTATACAAACTCTATACATATGTGTGTATTGATATATGTGTGTAAATATTATACAAACTCTATACATATGTGTGTATTGATATATGTGTGTGTAAATATTATACAAACTCTATACATATGTGTGTAAATATTATACAAACTCTATACACATGTATGTATTGATATATGTGTGTAAATATTATACAATCTCTATACACATGTGTGTATTGATATATGTGTGTAAATATTATACAATCTCTATACACATGTGTGTATTGATATATGTGTGTAAATATTATACAATCTCTATACACATGTATGTATTGATATATGTGTATAAATATTATACAAACTCTATACACATGTATATATTGATATATGTGTGTAAATATTATACAATCTCTATACACATGTGTGTATTGATATATGTGTGTAAATATTATACAAACTCTATACACAAGTATGTATTGATATATGTGTGTGTAAATATTATACAAACTCTATACATATGTGTGTATTGATATATGTGTGTGTAAATATTATACAAACTCTATAAATATGTGTGTATTGATATATGTGTGTAAATATTATACAAACTCTATACACAAGTATGTATTGATATATGTGTGCAAATATTATACAAACTCTATACATATGTGTGTATTGATATATGTGTGTAAATATTATACAATCTCTATACACATGTGTGTATTGATATATGTGTGTAAATATTATACAAACTCTATACACATGTAATTTATACACATATATCAATACACACATATGTATAGAGTTTGTATAATATTTACACACATATATCAATACATACTTGTGTATAGAGTTTGTATAATATTTACACACATATATCAATACAAATTATACAATCTCTATACATATGTGTGTATTGATATATGTGTGTAAATATGATACAAACTCTATACATATGTGTGTATTGATATATGTGTGTAAATATTGTACAATCTCTATACATATGTATGTATTGATATATGTGTGTAAATATTATACAATCTCTATACACATGTGTGTATTGATATATGTGTGTAAATAAATATTATACAATGTGTAATCGTTTTGCTGCTGTTGACTCTTATGGCTAAGTTAGTATTTTTATTTTGTTTAGTCTAAGCAGTTCATCATGTATCCCAATAAAAATAAATAGCAAAAATATTGTTTTTAGATTTGTTTAATGTTTTCTTACGTTACTAATCGTATTATTCGTGAATTCTTAGGAATTATCACAGAACACGTGTGTTCTGATACAAACGTCACTACAGATCACGGAACATGTGTGTGCTCTGAGG